GCAGATCCGGTGAATCTGAAGAGAGAACAGACTTTCTAATACTGGCTTCTGTTCAAGAGGAGGAAGTACTGTTAAAATTGGTAGCAGGCGAGAGGGTTACCTCAGCAAAGCTCCCCAGCGATCGCCTAGCTGGGCACCAGAGGAGAAAACAGGCCTAGAGATGTTGTAAGGCTGCCTCAGGAGACTTGCTTAGACCATGTGCCAGGTCTTCTCATACCTGACCGTTTTCCTCTAGGCCTGTTGTTCGTTCAACTGGGCACCAGCAACTGAGCGGAATACTTGCGCTCTCTCGTGTGCTCGTTCACTTTTATTTCCTCTTGCCCTTTTCTCGAGGTACAGTGAGAGGATGGGAAGAGATCATTTTGAAAGAGGGGACTGGGAAAAAAATCATGCAATGGGGCCCTAGCAGCTTCCAGACCCTGTTCTGCCCTCTGCTCTGCACCCACTCACTTTGCTTTGCACCCGACTGCCCACCCAGAATGGATGACCTGCATTTCACCTGGGGACTTTGGGTATGATCACGTGACTTTGGCTAATAAAATGAGACAGATGTGATGGTTACAGGGAAGCGCATATTCCACTGAGCCATCTTCCCGGCCCCGATATGATGGTTACAGTGACTATCTAGAAAAGAAAATTAAGGCAATTTCATTTTTGATAGTATCCAAAAGAATAAAATATTTAGGAATAGGGCCGGGGAGATGGCTCAGTGGAATAAGTGCTTCCCTGGCAAGCACAAGGGCCTGAGTTCAATCCCCGCTTCTGCCAAAAAAACAAAAAATAAAAATATTTAGGAATAAACAACCAACTAGGCTATTATGGTTTAAAGTCTGTTTTCCCCCAAACTAATTTTAAGATTTAGTTGCTATGGAAACAGTATTAAAAGATAGGACCTGTGCAGGTGCTTAGGGCTCTGCCTTGAAGGTTGGTGCTGGCGCCGTTGCTAAAGGGTGCGCTGGCGGCTTCGCTTCTGCCTTCCACAATGGCACACAACACCAAGCACATGTATGGTAACACCCACAAGCACACAATACTTAGGAATGAAGTGCAGAACCTCCGAAGCACCCACTGGACGTCAGAGTTCTCAAGCGCTGCTGCCTTTCTCTGATGCTTCCAGCTTCCAGAGTCACTCTCAATTCCCTCCGCAGGTGCTGAGTTACGGCAGCACAGAGCAGGGAGGGTAAAGCATCATTTACACACAAAACTACACTGATGACTTGAAAAATTCATAAGTACATGGACAGCTCATGTTCATGGAATAGAAGACTTAGTATTGGGGCTGGGGAGATAGCTCAGTAGAATAAGTGCTTCCCTGGCAAGTGCAGGGCCTGAGTTCAAACCCCAGTTCCACCAAAAAAAAAAAAAAAAAAAAAAAAAGACAATATTGTTGAGATGTCAGTTCTACCAAAGTGAGACACAGATTCAGCGCCAAAATCCCTTTACATATTATGAAAATAAGCAACATCTCATCCTAAAATTCACATAGCATCTCAAGAGAGGCAAAGTAGGCAAAACAATCTTAATAAGAAAGAGAACTCATACTTCCTGCATTCAAAGGTTACTATAAAGTCATAAAAAGAAAATATGGTACTGGTAAAAACAGACATGTGACAAATGACACAGGCTAGACCTTAACTATAGGGTTGAATGATTTTCTACAGGGGTGCCAAAACCATTTGATGGGAATGATGAGGAAAGGATGGTACTTTTGGAAAACAGTGCTAGGAAACTGGATATTCTTAGGTGACCAAATGGATTGGTCAAGCTTTTTTTTTGTACTGGGGATTGAACTCAGGATCTTGTGCTTGCTAGGCAGGCACTTAAGCCACTGAGCTATCTGCCCAGCCTTGGGTTGGGACCCTAATCTTATATCCCATACAAAAATTAACTAAAAATGCATTACAGACCTAAACATAAGAGGTGAAAATATAGGGAAAAAACTTAATTTGGATTTGGCATGATTTCTTAGGTATAACACTGAAATCTAGGTAATAACGGAGAAATTTAAAACTTTTTTTTTTTTTACATTATAGGACACTGTCAAATAAAAAGGAAACTCACAGATTAGGAGAACTATTTGCAAATTATTTGCAAAACCTTTAATATAAAGATTCTGAAAACATAGAACCAATTACAAACAAACAAATCCACTCAAAGTGGCCAAGGACATGAGTAGCTATTACTTAAAAGATGATACACAAATGTACAATAAGGATACAAAAAGATGTTCAACTAGTTTTTAGGCAAATGTGAATCAAAATCACGAAAGTTCACCAGGCCTATTACTGTAAAACAAATAAATAAAATACTTGCAGTCCATGTGGAGAAAGTGAAGTCTTTGTGCGTCACTAGTAGGAGTCAAAGTTGCACATCTGCTGAGGAAAACCAGCAGTTCCTCAAAAGTTAGACAGAACCACCATGTAGCCTACCAATTCCACTTCCAAAAGAACTAGACGTGGGGACTCCGAAGTGTATCTGTGCACCACACTCATTGCTGCATTATATATGAAATGTGAGATATGTCAGATGGAATATTGTTCAGCCTCAGCAAGGAATGGAATTTGGACACATGTTGCAAAATACTTTTTTGGTTGGTCTGGACAGAGCCCTGCTGAGGTAGGCTAGATTCTAAGTTGATAAATAAGAAACTGGCCACTTCCAGCCAAACAGGAGCTATACAGCCAGGGAAGCCTTGATATGAACCCCTAATCTTTTTTCCTAGTCCGTCATGGTTGATTTTCTGAGAGCATTTAGGCAGAAAAAGAGTGCTAGCAGCCTCAGGCTGGTCTCTGTGGCTGATGAAACTACTTACCTGGGAGCCCTAATCTTTAGCCAGCTAAATAGGAGGCATATTTGCTAAGAATTACATCATGTTCCTCCCTTTTTCTTGGAATCAGAGGCCTTAGTGAGCAGCCAGGACACATCTCAGCCTATCTTGGTCTTGGGCTTTAGCCTAAGGCCTTCCACCTTGCTTGTGAAGCTGTTGAGTGAAGTTGAGTTTTTAGAAA